CAGTCTCTTAAATAGCACCTTCACAGAGTGGATCAACCAGTTTGCTGCTGACAACCAAAACCAGCAAACTGGTTGATCCACTCTGTGAAGGTGCTATTTAAGAGACTGAAAACAGCACCTCAGACTGAGGAAGTCTCTTGGATGAGAGACGAAACGTTTCTAGATTTTTTTGCTTTGTTTTGTTTTTTGTTTTTTTTGAATGTCCAGAGGACCAGATTGAACTTTTTTGGATTTTTCTACCTGGATTATTGAGCATGCATCAGGATATTCATTCATTTCAGTTTCACAAACTGATCTCAGATTTCATGCTGAAAGTCGGAGGGTTGGAACTCAATTTCAGCTTCAAGCAGACGTATCTTCTGGACCTGCAGAACATCAGACTATGGGGCTGTAGTTCATTCATTTTTTGATGATAAAGGATTAACAACTAGCAACAGAAGCTTTCTATAAAAGGTGAAAAGAGATGGGCTGAAAAATCTTTTTAAACACGAATTTGACTGTAAAGACTGCAATTGCAGTTTATGACCACAAGATGGCGCTCAACCCGTTGAAATGTATCCAATACACTAAATGCGTTCAACAAACTTTTCGGGCATGTCTGGCACATTTGTACCGGTATATATGATAATAACATACAGTTATATTCTGTCATGGGAAAGTCCTTAAGTCAGATTCTTCCTACTAAAGTGTAAAACATTGAAATAGAACTTAAAACTGAAGAAGAAAAAAACTAAAACGTTTACTTGTGTTTTGTTGTACAACCTTTGAATAAATCAGAACACTGCTTCATTCATTAATAGGGTTTGATATTTAATTAACAAACTACAATGATTTACAGACATTTTAGTCAGATTTTAATACTGACCGGACAACAAAAGTCATTTCAAATGCAGACTAATCTGCAGGAAAAAAAAGAATATATATATATATATATATATTTTTTAACTACTTCATTATTGCACATCTACTGACTCGGTTGTGTGTATGAATCATAGTTAAACAACAATAACGTGTGTGTAATATTATGACAGAGAGGTTAAATGTGCTGATTTGAAGAGTTTCCTTTCAATGCATCCACTTTAGAAACACCTGGAACATAAATATGAAGGTAAGAGAGCAGGACTTGTTGCTCACACAGACCGCTGTGTGAGGTCAGTCCGGACTGGCAGTGTCGCCTCGATCCAGTGGTTTGGGTTTTCGATCATGGAGGTCCAAACTGCAACTTCCTCCTCTGTAGAGTCCATCCAGCTGACGGCCACACCGTAACTCTGACCTGCCGTTAAAAACAGCTGTTAGACATTTATGGCACGGACAGACATCATCAAGCAACTGCAAAGTGCAACCACTGCGGCCATTTTTTCTTGTATGTCCTTAAGCACATGCATATGTTATTTTTACTCTTTGCATAACATAATCCTACAATAAAAGATGGATTTTTAAGTATAAGAATTCTCATTTAGTCTAGAATCTCTTAGTCTGTTTGTTTGTACAACTGAGTAAAATTGAAAATAACTTTTTTTTTTAATTAGCAACATTACTGATGACTTCAAACCCTATCCTTTAAATTTCACTTCCAACGAGCAAAACTTTCTTGTAGCCTTTGAAATTTGTCGTAAGCAGCTGTTCTTTGAGTGTTCTGCAGGTTTTGCAAAATTTTTCCATGCCTTTTGGCTATTTCTTCACTCATTCTGCATCCATCCATCTTTATCTTTACCCGCTTCTTCCTTTTTGGGTCGCGGGGTCACTGGTGCCCATATCCAGCTGTCACTGTGTGAGAGGCGGGGTACACCCTGGACAGGTCTCCAGTCCATCACAGGAACACATAGAGACAAACGAGACAAACAAACATTCACTCTCTCACTCACACCTAGAGACAATTTAGAGTCACCAACCAGCCTAACATGCATGTTTTTGGTCTGTGGGAGGAAACTGGAGTACCTGGAGAAAACCCATGGATGCACAGAGAGAACATTCCCTGACTGGGATTCAATCAGGCAACCTTCTCACTGAGAGATGTCACCAGAAATCTGGTTGATCCACTATGAGAAGGTTTTATTCATAAGACTGAGTTTGTTGCAGCTCCTCAGACTGAAGAAGTCTTTTGGATGAAAGATGAAATGTTTCAACAAAGAAGAATCCATCCAGAGGACCTGACTTAACCTTGTTAGAAATATCAAATGTAGGGGAACACCACCTCAGAAACAGTTCATCTCAGCTTAAACAGAAAAACAGTTCATCTCATCTCAAACAAACATCATTCGTGTGTTTTTGTGTTTGAAACTGTTTAAAATAAGATGCATCCATTCCCTCGGGAACAAACAGACTTTGTTTTATAAATACTCAACTCAGCTCACAAACTTCTTAGTTGACACTAATGTGAATGTATATAAAAAAGAAACTGTCACTGTGTTAAGCTCTGCCAATATGAACTCATTTCCCATGAAACGGACAGATCGTTTTAACGAGAGTTTTGGTTCAACTGACCTTGAAGCTTAGGAACATCCGAACTCGCTACTTTGATATTTTACCTTGATCAAAGAGGAGTATTACTCCCAGGACTCGTTCCCATGAAGATAACACATTTTAAAAACCCTTTGTTTAATCACATTTACTTTTCAGGGGGTGGACAGCGACACCTTTTGATGAACACTGATTCTGTTTTATTTCATACCTGAATGTTTATTCATGAAAAAGTAATCTCTCTAAAGAGAGATGGAGATGATTATCTTAAAAGATAATCATTTGTCTTATTTTTCTCTTTTAAAAGAAGAGTGACTTTTAAAGGCAGACAGAGAAAAATGGACTTTAGATTTTATAAAACAAAACAAAAAATTAGGACCGCCCCCTCCTGAGGTGGACCAAAGTCAATCTGTAACACACAGACAGTTAAGTTTCACTTCTTCACTACTTTTTCACAAGCACATCTACTTCTACATCATCTTCCACTACACGCTTCTGGAGCTCGGAACTGGAGAGAAGAAACCCAGTTTCTGCACTGAGCTCAGAGAGGAGAGAAGCATCCTTTCTGCAGACGTCTCAGGATGAGAGAAAGACGCAGAACCTGGCATTAACCTGAGGTTTGTTACCAGAACCATCACACCGCAGAGGAGTGGAAAGATCCCAGCTGACTCCCATATGGACCCTCATCCCTCTAAGATGACAGGTGAACTTTGAGGCAAAATCAGCCTCTCAGTCACCAGAACATCTGGGCTTGTACCATTTTTAAGCAGCTGTTGGACCATTCCTGACCATCTCATCCTGGTAGGACAAGAGGCCTTTAATGCCTTTCTGGTGATCATACTTCACAATAATCTTAGACAAACTACCGCTCACCTTAGACACAATTTTAACTACTTCACAAACAGAACCAGTCCAAAATCTGCCTTTTAAGTAATAAATCAGTTAGACCTTTGATACAAAGCTATTTGTTATTCATTTGTTTGTTATGCATAATTTTCATCACATATAACATAGATTATTATTTTTATAATAACATACATAAAATCAATTGAATTTGTGTTTTATTTTGGCATATCTGTGTGTATTAGCTGATTTGATGCCCTTTAAACACGAGAGAGAACTTACGTTTCAGTTTACATTTAATTTGGGGTTAGAGACTGATTTTTCCTCTAAAACAGAGGTGGTGCCCACAATGAGGTTATTTGCATAATAAATGCATATCTTATGAGCTTAAGTCATAACTGATAATTTACAGTATATATCCAGCCCCATATCCCTCTACACAAAACTAGATAACAGTTTCCTCCAATGATAGGGGTGTCTGGTTTACACATAGATATCTTGAGTTTTGAAGTGGCAACCCAGTTTTTGTTTGGGACCGTTCTTATGAATAGATGCAGCTACACATCAAAGTAAAAGTTGGTACCTCACTTGTTTTATTTTTTTAAGTTATCCAGCACACAAGATGGATGGAGGGTATTTCCAAGTTCCTTCCTCGCTCCGCCATGGACGACAAAAATGGGCTCAACTATTTAATTTAAAATCCCTCAGAACTGAATCGCTGTTGTGCATACTTTTTAAAATCATGTTTGAGTATAATAATGGAAAAGTACTGTGCTGAAAAATACTCTCAAAACCTGACTGCAAAAACAGTGAGTAAAAACAGAACTGCTTTGTCTGTGGTTCGATCTTTATCTCTACTGACGCTCTCCACACCACAGTAACACCAGCGGCACTATCAGTAGTGCAAATCAAGTTATCTGTTTATATCTCTTTGGCTTTTTAATACAAATTCACAAGCAAAGCCCACACTCCTACCATATCTTAGATTTAGTCCGTTTTAATGTTCAAAGAAGAGGCTAGTGAACGCATCACACTGAGTTACTAGTGGAGCCTCGTTTTAATGACACGACCATCTGAAATACGCCAGGAGCTCAACCTTTGGTTTGTATGAAGCCCCCTGACCCCCTCCCCTGTGCCTGTGTGCTGACAGGAAATACTGACTTAGACACGACTGCAGCGCAGACTTACAACTATGTTTACGATGATGTCAACAAAGATGGGCAAATTACAGCCTCGTTGAATTCAATTTATTTAAATAGTGCCAAGTCACAACAGAAGTCATCTCAGGGCAATTTTAGGTCACCTTCCTGGACAAAGAACAGGCTGCCCACCTGATAATGTTTCTAAATACTTTTATCTGTTAGTGCATCGTTTACTATCTTAATCTTGTATTAAAAAAAACACCAAATAAAACAACACAAAACTAATATATTTACACTGAACAAGAAGTACGGTATGTGTTAGAAATTATTCTCAGCTACCGAATGTTAGCTCAATATCTGTGAAAGTGACCGTGTTAAAGACGGCTGATGATGACGACTCTCTGTGGCGGCCATCTTGAACCAGATCGACTCCAGAAGTTAATAAGTTGTAGATGCACATTCAGTGATTACTTTCTCAGAGTTTCGTTAACTTTGTTTCATCAGTTGATAAGATATTTTACTAACAAAAAGCCAGGGATGATGCCAACTGTTAATGGCAATGCTTGAAGTACGAGTTGAGGACGACTCTCAACTGAGAGAGCTGTAAATGTGAGAACGTTTTTTTGTGTGTGTCAGATGAACACAAACACAAATCTATTTACCTGACTTTTCATGGCTGATATAAATAAAAACTTATATTTTCTGCACCAAACCTGCAGTTTCAGCTCTCCTTCATTTCATGTGACAATTCGAATGAAGCAGCGTCACCCAGAGTCAAGTCTTTAAACTAATGCAGAACAAGCAGCTGTTCTCTTTAAACCTTAAACTTGAATTAAACTATTCTCGAACCAAAGCCCTCACCTGTTCCACAGCTCAGACGAATCCCTCCCAGCGCGTGCGTCTTTAAGCCTTCACGTTGCCAGACGGTGAGCTCAGCGCAGGCCTCCCTCAGGTCGCTGGTGTGGAAGCCATCGTAGACCATAGTGTGGTTGTACGTGGGACTGACGGAGCGTTTCACCACTCGCGTCTTCTGACCACTCTGCTGACTCGCATCTGGGAGAACGTAACTTGAAGGAGTGGAATAAAAATTAGAAGAGTCAAACTGAGATTAGTAGACATAAAATTATTCAGATGTTCTTTTCTCGTCAACTGTGACCTGAATTTTTAACCAGCTAAACTCCGGTTACAATATGTGGATAACTGTTAAAGTATTACTCTTAAATTATACTGTACTGGTATTTAATGTTGTACATAAAATGTTTTAGCTACAGTTGTGTTCTACTAATGAAATCTTCCTGAACATCTTGAATGGGTGCACCAATATGTGTGAATATGAAAATAAGCAAAACGGTGAGGGGAACGTTAATTTTCATTAATTGGACAAATTGCGTTGCATTTTCTGCAATAAAAACAGGATATTTTGTTTGTTGTTGTGCACAAACTTGTTACGTTTTCTTCTTCTCGCAGGTCGAGATTGTGTCTCGTGAAAAATAGTCCCGTCTAATAAATCAAAAGAAACGAACGCTTCTTACACCTACATCCACTGCCACCAAAAACGGGGATAATTTGTCCGCTTCGACGCATGACTACATAATTTAATGCAACGCGCAACTGTCTGACATGTAGAGAATTGCCGAACACTCGCACTCAAAGTTGTTTGGATCTGTAAAGTTTCTCACTTTGATTAAAAATAAATTAATTAAAGTGAAGAAATGACATTAGAATATATCATCACCAATTCCAGAGTTCCAACCAGAGATCGAACCCACAGTCTTCTGACGACCGACACTTTAACTACTAGCCTATCTCAGCCACACACACACACACACACACACACACACACCACAGAACTGGTTAAATACAACCCCACAATGTGGGTAAAAATGTCCCACTTTTTGTCTGTCCTCCTCAGTTGTCTGTTCTGGTCCCTTCTGTCTGCTCCAAATGGACTTCAACAGAACATCTCCACAACACAGAAGGTTCTGCTGCAGCTATTCTTGCGTTTGAGTTCACGTCAGGTCAAGTCAGTGGTGCTATCAATGCACTAAAATCAGACGAATGTGTCCGCACGGCAAAACATCAGATGCTGCAAATGAGATTCTACTGGAGCTGGCTGTTTGGACCACTGACGAGATGTTCCGATCCACTTGGTGAACGGTAGCCCTCCATCACAGTAAATAAGTAAAAAAACTGGGAAAGAATCACTAAAATTAATTAAAAATTCCTTTTAAAATTGTCAAAATAGTTAAAAACTATACAGAACTAAACAAGACACAGCAAGCTCAGTAAACAAGTTATTTACATGATTTATTAGGAGAAACTACTTTGTGAGTCAAATTAATTTGTTTTTTTGAACCGGCCGCTAATGAAAATAAGAAAACTGCCTCTGCTGCTGGGACAAAAGAAGATTCAATCTTTGCGATTACATAGAATATGTATATACATGCATATTTAAATATAAATGTATGTATGTACATATATATGTATGTACAGTAGTCCCTCGTTTATCGTGGGGGATCCGTAACCTGAAGCCCCGTGATGATTGAAAAACTGCCAAGTAGGAATAGTAGTACAAGTAGTAAGAAGTAGTTTATTTTAGTGTATATTTATATATATATATATATATATATCCTTCCCACATTCTTGCAATATTCTAAACAATGTTTTTAAGCTCTAAACGCTCTAAAGAGCACAGCTTGTCATGATGTCAGCCCTCTGCCACAGCTGCGCTCTTGGCCACGCCCACTTCTCTGCTGCAGAACAGAGATCGACAGAGGAGGGAGGAGGAGCTGCTGGAGGAAGTTTCTCCTGCAGTGTGGGCTGCACAAAGGTGCGGCAGGTGCTAAATAATTTAAAATAATTTATTTTAAATAAAAATTCCATGCTGATCGCACAGCTCATCCATCAGTCAGCCAATTGTGTGTCATGTCCAATTTTATTTTGAAAAACCGTGATAGAGCAAGTCCACGAAAAACGAACCACAAAGTAGCGAGGGACTACTGTACATGGACAGAAGATATCTTTCATTATGTAGACTGCTGAGTCCTTGGCTTCAGCCTATTCCTTATTTTGATAAATTATTGATTTGTAAAATAGTATTTTAAATTGTTTTCCTTTTTTTAATGTTAATTTACCAAACAAAGTTGAGTTGAGAGTGTTTTATTACTTTATGTTTTATCAAAATACTGCTGTCAGATTTCCTGAAGTTCAGCGTTCCACAGATTTAGGTGGGTGCAAACATTAGACATCTCTTTTATTATTAATATTATTACTTGCTTAACTATGATGACACATCTGAATATTTGTTTTTCTGATGATAAAACATGTTTTAATAATGGCACCAGAAATGTGAACGTAAAGAAAACACAAACCAATCGTTTTGATCAGCGCTGAAATCCCTGGCTGGTGGTTCTCTAACATTTCTACACACTTTACAGACTTGAGTTAAGATTTTTTACATATTTTCAACTGTTTGATTTAAAAAAAATCTAAAGACGGATGTACATTTTTTAATAAGTAATTATAAATGTTAGAAAAATAGTGCAGGCACACCTTTTAATGAAGGAGTCTACAGCGCCTCCTTTGTTGGACAGGAGACCTTGAGCCTCCCGAAGCCAGATGTGAATCTCTCCGGTCAAAGGCAGACCACCACCTGAACACACAAACATGCACACATTCAGATGTTAAAAAAAAAAAAATCCACACAGGATCAACGTGTAACTATGCTACTGAAGTGCATGTTGCTCACCCTCAAACCCATCAGGAATAAATTTAATAGAAAACAAGATGCGGCCTCGGCAGCTGATGGAGTCTGGACACAGACGAACCTGCACAAGCCATCAGAAGATACAGTTAGAGAGGCAGAGACGCTGGGACCGCCGGAGGTTACATAAAACCTTGTTTGAAATTCACAGCATGCCTCCCTCTCCCTTCAGCTCACCCAGACAAAAAGACACCTCCTCCCCTTTCATAATCTGTCTCCAACAGGGTTTCCACAACTCAAACCTTAATGCAGCTGCAGGCCTCACACTTTGTTTCTAATCACTCCTCTGGGAGCACTCAGGCTACGCTAGATTAGTGGATGAGAGTTTATTTGCATGCAGCTCATGTGGGTCAGGTCCTCCCTACCCGCGGCTGCAGCTCCTGCCACAGCGGCTGCGTGCACGTCCGGTCCCAGAGTCCCAGAGCCACCTCCACCTCCCCCAGGAAGACGTTCCTCCCCAGGGCCTCAGCGTGCCACACAGACAGATTCAAAGTCCGACTGCTCAGCTCCCTGACACCCACTTTGTACTGCGAAAGAATAAAATCATTATAGCAGGATGTGTAGGACAAAGCTTTGAGCACCACTCTGCATGTTGGTGTCTTTGAAGGACGAAGGGCTCTGATTGGTGAAACGTGTATATGAGGGAGCTCCTCACTCTGAGCGTCTGATCATAAACTGGGTTTAGTGTCTTCTTCTTCACTGATGTCTTCTTCTTACTGTGGTTCGACTTGTCTGGCAAGAGATAGGATTTTACATATCTGTGAAAAAGCACACACACATACAGAGGTTTATTGATTTAGTGTGTGGCACTGCTGGTTTAACGCACATCCACATGAAAGCACTTACGGGTCGGAGCGGTTCTTGCGCGCAGAAGCGATGTCCTCGCAGCGATACACATTCACTTGGAGCTCCTCCTTGTGAGTGTCGTACTCCAATGAGTACTGGATGCGGCCCCTCACCTCCACCGCTCCGAAGTCCCCCGAGCTGAACAGGCTCATCATGCTACCACCGAGCTGCGACGCACACACACACACCAAAGATGAGCTCCTGCGTCACAGTCCTGAGCTGAGTCATCTCACGTCGCCAGACACTTTTAATCAAACGTGTGCGTGAGTGTATGCGTGTGCACCGTGTAGCTTGAACGAAGGCTGCTGGTGGAGCTGCTGGTTTTCAGGGAAGCTAGATCTGGTTCGGGCAGGTTGCTGCTGAAAGAGTCGGAGTCCCCGTTGCGACCGACAATCAAGTCTTCCTAAATACACGTGGAGATGGACTCAGTTCTTCCACCCAGCATCGTATTTACACATGCATGTGTTGTGTCATGAAAAGTCCAGATGGATAGGCTGTGTATATAGTAGGGTTCTGTTTAGAGATTTTTCTGCAGTAAGTATCATACCTGCAGCAGACAGCAGACGTTGAGCTAACAGCCTCATAGTGGAGCTGAAACTAAAAACCATTTCCGAAGTGTTGAAATAACTCTGATCTTTTAAAATTCACAACAGTTCAAGCAAACACTATTTTACAAACTTTTACACCAGAGTCACGTTTTCATTAGACGGTTGTTTACATGGAAGTTAGTGGGAGTTTATGCTGACAACCGTTTTGGTCTATACTATAGAGAAAGTTACTCTGCCTTTTGTTGTTTCTTGTCGCAGAGTGAAAAGAGGGAACTGGAGATACCCTCCATCCGTCTGTGAATGGTGAGAGCGCAATAACTTAAAAAGTGAAGTACTGACTTCCATTTTGGTATGTAGCTGCATCTAAACATAAGAAAGTTTATATTCAATAATTAGGTTGCTAGGCCAAAATCCAAAATGGCCACCGCCGTATATATGTAAACCTTGTGAGCTGGACAACTCAAACAATAAGCAACAAGCCAACTTCCACTTAGGTGTGTTGTTGCATCTGGGTGTGACAAAGGTTCCTTTTGAAAACTGTGTTGCTATGTCAAAATTCAAGATGGCCGCCACTATAAATATGAGTAATCTGGCCACCCCAATCATTTGAGGAAACTATGCGTTCTAGTTTTTCTATTGCTTAAAAGCACAGTTTCCTCAAATTAATTATTAATTAATTAATTTTAATCTATGGTGGTAAAGGCCACCATTGGCCACCCCCTGGCTCCACCCTTGTACATGGTGGTGGATAAAATAGCTCCCTTCACTTGCCAGGATCCGTCACTTTGCACCACCTTGGACAGGAAAAAAACTACCTCTGTTCTTATACACAATGTAACACCTATTTACTTGAATTACTTTCACCAAAAACATTAAGGTTTACTTGCATTTTCTGTTCAAATCCAGCCCAGAAAAACACTCATCACAAAAATACAAACATTCACTATTCAAATTCTTCAACAACGAGGGACATCGGCATACACCTTATTGTTTTATGCGTTTAATTTTGTTTAATTCTTTTTCTCCTATAATAAACCAACATCTATGTCTATCTAAAGCACAACTGATGGCATTGAAATACTCATAAAATAACGTTTTCATAAGTGCAGTGAAATTCTTAAGATTAAAGTTGTTTTAAAACAGCAGCAAACCACTTTGGTCGTAGATCTGCTCATACTAGTTGTCAGTTCAAGTATTCTGTAAAAACATGTGACTTTTTCCCCAAAATTGAAAGGACTCTGAACGTTGTCTGCTGCAGGTAAGATACTGACTGCTCTTGATATCTTCATAAAACCTCAGTCAAATTCTATATTTGAAGGCTCCTTAATTTTCCACAAATTGATACATAATCACTGAAATTTTCCAAATGTAATAGCATAAGACTGTTATTTTAATATTGAGTAGGAATGTGAAATATTTCTCTAAACCTAATGAAATAAATCTCAAACAGCTTTTTTCAATGCACATCCAGGGAAACCTGCCTTAGATGGGTCATCAACATTCATACAAACATATTCACAATGTAAATTCATTTACAGAAACTGATTCTTTACAGCTAATGTCATAATATCATATCTCAAATATTGCAAAAGTTAACTATAGGAACCTTTTTCATTTACTTATACTTTTACATGATGTCAAACACTGACTCAGTGTCAGTGGAAGATGAAGTTCAGGCGAGCTGAACAATGTTTAGTCACTGTAATCTGTCACTGTAGGTGTTACTGCAATCACCTCAGGCTCTTCTGAGTGCCCATTACTTCTGCTTTCTGTGAGATAATAAGGGAATATTGTTATTCAGAGGTCTCCAGTGATGTGCACAGTCTGTCTACAATTTTTTCTATACCTTTGACTGAAGAAGAATCGTTTCTATGCTGGCGATCCTGTTGAAATGTATTTATTTGGCATTTTAAGATGGTTTAAGATTATATAGAATATATATACTCTATAGAATAGATGACACACACCTGTTCAATGGGAATTCTTGCACTGGGTGCGGCTTCAGGTTTCAGATTTTCCCGACACCTGGGACAACGAAATAGAAATGAGAAATGCTTCTCGTGTAAATGGAACAAAAACCTTTTATCTCACAGACTAACCCTCCACTCTCTTTTTCTTTGTTGTGCTGCGGTATTTCCTCGGCCTCAGGAGGGACGTTTCTCGAGGAAGTTTCCTCCTCTCCACTGAACAGATCATTCAGGCGCACATCTGTTACCATGGCAACAACAGGAGAACAGTCACTCTGATGTAGATCTCACTACAAAGGCAGAAAGAAGGCAGAAAAAAACTGAAATGACTAAAACTCACCTCTGCTCTTGGTCTTCCTGTGCCGGAGACTGGCTTGGATGAGGTCGAAGCCTGAAGTCCACTTGTGATGGCGTTTGCCGCAGACGTGACTGAACCACTCTCCAGACAGGAGGCATAGACGTGTCGGGTCTGGTTCTGTCTGCTCGAGGATCCTGTAGCGTAAAAGGAGGGCCAAGATAAACAGGAAGCCATCACATCCTCCTTCCTTCATGAAAAAGATGATGTCAGACAGAGTGCATCAAAACCACTGTTGTCCCTTCTGAAATGAATATTAAATGCACTAGGGTTATGATTCTTACAGTTTTCTCAGAATTATAAAAGTTTGACTTAAACCTAAAAACAAACATCAGCTTTAAATACATGACAGTTTGAACAACTTAAGTTTGGGGGCTGCTGCTCCACTAATAGTAAAAGTAATCTGAAAAGGCCAGTTTTACATCTAGAGAAAATCTGATTATTTTCTATTTTCTTGACATTTACAAACTAAATGAAAATTTTTTTTTAAAGCCCCAAAATTATCTTATCAAAAATATTTGTCTTAAGAAATCAGACATAAGTTAAAAAATAATTAATTAATATATTAGATTAATAGATAGATTAATAAAATTAAAGTTTTGCCTTGTCAGGTCTGAGTATCTCCAGGTTGTTGTTTTTTTTGTTGTTAAACTGAACGTCTTTTACATCCATTAATGGTCAAGCAGGTCATCTGGACAGTTTCTTTAATGTGGAAAGACGTTTCACCCTCTATCCTGAGCGCTTCATCAGTCTGAGCAGTCTGAAAACTGTTATCCCCACTAAGCAGTACACTCCTTGAGTGGACCAACCAGTTTGCTGGTGATAAGATGGTTTTGGGTCCAGATGACCTGAATGACCATTATTGGATTTTGTACCTGGATGACTGCACATGAACTTTGATGAATGTTTGTAACACAAAACGATCACTTTTATGAAACAATCACTTTCTTCATAGACCAAATGAAACAACTGATCAATGAGGGAAGAAAACGCACAAACCCATTTCTCCTGACGCAGAAACTCTTCTGTAGTTTGAAATGTTTTAGATAGTTGACCTAAATCTCAAAGAAATCCAAACGGACTTTAATGATCCTGTAGTTTCTAATAAGGTTCTCAAGTTCCACCATCAAAACAATGAAGCTTGTATCAAAGTTACAAAATAAATGCCTGAACGAAGATGTTGACGTATTTAAACACGAGCATGAAACATTTTGTTCCAATAATCCATTCACTAGTTGTTTAGTTCAATCAAATTATCAGATTTGGTCCCTGACGATAAATAGTCACCTCCACCTGACCTTATACGTCCTTGATCGCGATGACGCAGCTCCAAATCCCGCTGTAGGACCTGCAGGATGGAGGACTGCTCCTCCTCCGTCAGGTGGCTCAGGTCAAGAGATGAGTCCACCTGCTCACCTGCCATTCCTGCCGCAGAGAACTGAATGTTATCCTTAAACAAATAAAGGCTACCGGTTATGTTTTACGCCCAATCCTGCTTGGATTTTAAAGGTAAAGGACTAAAAATATGTTTTAATATAGAAACATTATGATTTACTTGTCTGGAGAGCTGAAGGCTTTACAGAGAAATATTTCACCGAAAATAAAAATGAAACCAGCTCATGAAGAACGTTGCAAATCACTTCACAAATACAACAGAATTTGACACAAAAAGACACTTAGAGAAGAAAAACTGGAGTAAAACACACCTAACAACCACTATCAGGAACAAAATAACCAAAAATATACAAAAAAATAACTTTGATTTGATGGCAAAGAACAAAATGAGACGTAGAACATAATTTAGGACACAGAAAGACAACAAACAGAAAAAAACCAATAAATAAATAAAACTATATGACTTTAGATGAGCTCAATAACTTAAAAAGAAGTGAGATAACAACTTCCATTTTGGTATGTAGCATTTAGGCATGAAAAAGTTTCCTTTCAAAAATTAGGTAGCCAGACTAAAATCCAAGATGGCCACCGCCATATAGCTATAAAACCTTGTGAGCTGGATAACAAAGGGACAACTTTTTTTTTGGTGTGAATGAAGTGTGGACACTGGCAATGATCTATGGTTTGTTGATTTGATGCTACATGTGTGAACTCCTATTTTTTTTTTTACTTGGACCAATAAAATAAATGTAATTACTGTCCTACTACATCTATTTCTATTTGTTGCAAAGCAAAAGAAGCGGTCAGTGGACACTTGTAGGATTTTTCCTACTCTGCATCAAATCTAAAGTGGCTTCAAATCACACAAGTTTGAGTTCTCACTTTTGAAACACAGTATAGCACCTTTTGGTGGTATCATGAACACGTTTGTGCCAATACGCCCAGTTTTATTTGGTTGTACTAAAGTAATGTTCCACCACAGATTGTTTCATTTTAATCATTTAAAGAACCGAAGCACTAACTGTTGCAAAAGAAGGAGTAGCCACACAGACTTTTTTTTTTTGTAAAACTTATGATTTGTTGTGAGGTTCAGTTCTGTAAATAACAACAGACTTTAGATAAGAGCTCAGGTTATGAACCACTACACACTTTTCAAGTCTGACAGCAACACTGACTTTCTTTTTCCTACTCTCTTATGAATTGACAAATTAAAAAAAAAACTATATATTTCAAAGGAAAAAAAAAATCTAAATAGACCTAATTAAAATGTTGTTTGATGGCAGTGGTTAGTGTGAAGCAGGGAAATGTTTTAAAAAAAGCCTTCTTCTATCTGTTGCACCTCTTGTGCGCGCTGGTTCCAGAATTAACTTGACGCATGCGCACAGCGGCTTCTCAGTCCGAACCTGTAAACGTCGCGCGTGGTCACAGGAAGCCAGCCTTTGTTTGCTATTTCTGTCGCTTTAATATATCTCAAATGTAGTTATTATTTTCATAGTGGGTAAAATCTAAGGGCTTTATATTTCTGACGTGGGGAATTTTTAAGCGCGTGACTCGTGCAGAACTTCTTTCAGCAAAAACGCGCGCGTGAGTCAAAACACCTGTCGCAGTTTGTCCTCAGTTAACCTCCCTCCTCCTCACCGAGCGCTTTAAAAAAGTTACACAAACAGATAAAACCCGGTGAAAACGCGCGTTACCTTACTCGACAGCCTGCAGCGGGTCCATCTGAGGGGAGTCGAGAGAAAAGTTGCCCCGAGCGCGCGCACGTGTGTGTTTGTGTGTGTGCGTGCGGAGTAAACGGAGTGAACACACCCTCTGAGTGTGCGCACAGAGCAAACATGCCACACTGAGACTAATTCTATGAGAGGTGGGCAAAATATGGCCCGAGGGCCAAAAGTGGCCCTTGGACAACCTCCATCTGGCCCTCAATATGCTTAATTGAAAACAAAAAAACTTTTAAAGAAGTTGATGAAAACCTGCATGTTACCATGAAACTTGGGTCTAAATTCAACATCTTGGACTTGTACATCAAAAACTTTCAGATTAAGTAACGCCAAAAACATTTTGTCGTTATGTTTCCAGAACTAGAAGGAACCTTAAATACTCTAAAAAGAAAGTATATGGTGTTTTTTTTTTTTATTTTTATTTTGTTTTTTTAAACATTTAAGCTAACAAATATTTACTCACAAAAGCCTGTTTGCAAAGAATATGCCATACTCAGAGAACTGAGGTGACATATTTTTATCAAGTATGCTAACTTCGCTACAACAAGATAAAGCCTGAAATAAGTTTTCCAGATTATCCGTCTTAAAGAAAATATATTTACTATTTCTCTATGCTGTCCTTCAGTTGCTTTAAATACCTTGATTTGGCCCTCTGAAAAAATATGTTGCCCGCTCCTGTTCTAAAGTGAAGGTCGGGCTGACTAACACCAAGCGTGGGTCTGGAACTATAAATATTACTAATATTCATCGTCTAGCATGTATTCACCATAGTTGTTACAAGATCTATGAAATGTGCCTATTTGATTTATTTGTTTGGAATATTTGTGTATTTTATTCAGCAGGTCACGTGCGTAAGCTGCCACTGAAATGCCAATGGTGAGTGTTTTTTTGTTTGTTTATTTGTTTACCAAAATATCTCATGAACCATCAAATGGATTTTAGTGCAACTTTCTAACAGTAATTATTGGATGCACATCAACAACTGTTTACCCTTTGGAGTCACCCCAATTCAAGATGGCCACCACAGCTAAGCAGTCATTGCAAACACAACAGTAGCAGTAACGCTGCTAATTTTATAGCTAATTTTTCTAGTTTGCTGTGGTAGTAGCCAGGAGTCATCCCTAACTCATATGGTGAGCACAGACTGATTGTGCAAGGCGTTTGCTCAGAATGTAGCCATTAACTAGTTGGAGTCAACAACATCTGTCTGTTAGCAAAATTTCGAGTGTATATTTATAACTGATTAATTTTTTTGAGTCAGTCAAATTCAAGATGGCTACCGCAGCTTATATACTTTAGCCAACACGAGCATTGCTCAACTTAAGTGACAGCTATACTGAGTTCATATTTGGTGTGGTAGTAGCTGAGAGTCATCCACAACACGTACTCCCAAGTGTTAGCACATGGCGCAGCGTGTCACAATGTTGGCATGACATTGTTTACTTTTGTTTAATGTTATTTTTAAGAAGGCTGGTCGCAATAAACAATAAATCAATTAATCGCATGATAAATGAAAATTATCCACCTCGTTTTAATTTATCGGCTTTATCATTTCTTCGTGTCTCTCTCTTTCTACTGAAGACACCGGATGACAAAAAGCTCAACTTTGCTGCTCTTCACTGACTCCTCCCCTTCTCTTTTCTCTTTAAAATCAATTTTCAACGTCCAAAATTGCGTTTTTGGATCGTTAAAAGCAGCTAAGTTGAGACGCTAAGCTACAAGCTAAGCTAACAGACCGACCTCGGGGGGAAAAAACCTCCTTCTTATCGAAGCTCCAAATTTCACGGTTGAAACTCGTGCCTTCCTCTAAAAAGTTGTTTTTCTCTGCAAAAAGAAGCTGAGAACTTGTTTACTGATTTTTTTAATTTTTTTTATTAAATGCTTTGTGTGAAAAATGCTATGCTAAGGAGCTCAAACCAAACCGAACTTCCGCCATTTTGAGAACGGAAAAAGGGAACGAGAGACAGCCCATGTCATGTCAAGGGGCCACCCTCCCATTTCTCTTAAAGAGACACGCCACTCGCTCCCTCACTATCCATCTTTCGGTTCATACAGTTTTATACTGCCATCCGGTGGTCAAAAAAGGTACTACACGCAAAATAAACCACCATTTCTTCTTACAGTTGACAATAATTACAAAATAAGTATTGCCAAATTTCAAACAATATTATCGTTTATCGCAATAATTTCTAAGACAATTAATCGCCCAGCAAAATTAGTTACCGTGACAGGCCTAGTTTTAAGGTACAAGCAAAACAGGTCCATCATTTCGCAGCATAAGATGATGTCACTTCATTACACTGTCATGAAAAATACACCTCCATGAAATGCTTGGCCATCAATTATTGACATTTGATTGGAATTTAAAAAGTGTGGGAACTTGTGTGATATGACTCACACGCGGATGTTTTGCCAAACACCAGGTTGGAGGTGGGATTCCTTCTTGTAGTTGTCCACACCTGTTAAACACACACAAGGTTTGCACGCACCTATGTACACATGCAGTTCTGCTTGTTTTATAAGGAAAGATAATAATCAGTAGTGCATTAACCAAACCCTGCTTCTTGTGCTGGACTTTACTTTTCACACAGTGGAAATGTGTTTGTGTGAAGGGGGCGGGCGAATTCAGAGAGAAAGAGGGCTTGTGTTCTGCTCCGTCTTTTGTCAACACACTTGGACAACAGCCATGGTCTGCTCAGTTGGAAGGAGCTTTTTGTGTGGGTTTATTCAAGCCTTTAAGTCCTGGCACAGCATTCGTACGATTCCCCTGACTGCCTCCCTGCCGCTGACACTTAGACGAATAAGGACACCTCGATTTTTATCAGGAGGTTCTGGCTGTCAGACTGTAGATCACTACCTCGACTGCCATGAGCAAATACTCATAGAACAAACATGATACACAGCAAGAGCTTTTCATTCAGAGTTTATTCAAGCAAATGTTGTGACTTCACAAATAAATCATTAACATGAATGCACAGAAACATGTCTTTATGAACCATTAATACAGGTAGCATTCTTAAATCATAAAAGCCAACAATTAAACCTTAATACATATCATAAAAATGCAAACAGAAACTCTTGACTGTTCAATAATTCTGCAGAAATATGAGTCAAATCAAGTATGCAATAGAATAAAGTAGATAAACAAAACCCAGAAACAAACTAACTGGAGAAATATGTTGCACTCAGTCCATTTTCTGTCAATAAAAAATGCACTGATATAAAACAGCCACAATCAAACACATGAATATTATAGAGAGGCTTTTAAAAAGTGAAAACAATAACGTCAAAAATAATATCTTTGCTCATTATGACATACAAACAAAACAACAGTAAGACAAAAAGCCAAAATCTGCAAGCGATTACTAAGTTATAATTTAAGATATATGTGAGAGCGCTGTCCAAGTAAATGTTTTGAAGTGAACGAAATTAAAATCTGAGCTTTTCTTTCTTGTAAAATGAAAATAGATTTGAGTGGAGACGAGAAATTACAGCACTGAAGTATCTCTGTCTAGCTCTAAAACACGGTGGTGGTAGCGTTATGGTTCGGTCTTCCTAAGCTGCATGGTGGCGACATCACCACATCATTAAACAGTCAGTTCAAATATAAGTATGCATCTGAATCGTAACTCTTTTTGCTGAAAGGGTTACATTGAAACAATACACTTAATTGCTGCTGTTGTCGTCAACAAACACGGATTTGTGAGATTTTTGTGTGTTTGTTTTGTCTTGGTGGATAAATGGCCGTGTGGGATTGTTTTTGAAATATTTATGTGGCTCTCTTCACTCGGTTCAGTTTAAGGTCAGTGGTCCAGAAAATGGTTTTAAATAAATAAAAAGCTATGTGACTAGTTTTACCGAGCACCACTGTACACGTGTTTAAATGTCTTAACCGAGCGCAACAAAGACTTTTAAATGCATGAGCTGGACAGACAGCGGACACATGCAAGGTCCCTTTTTATATGATTTGTGAAAAATGCCCCCTAAGAACTCGGGCATCCCACAGGGGTTCCAAACCAAATAGTGCAAGAACTCTGAAAAAAAATAAAAAAATAAAAACAGACTTCTTGTCATCATTTCTGGATAAGTCAGCGCTCTGCTGTCCTCCGTCCGGTCTGATTGTCCTTCCCACGTCTCGTCCTCACTGAGGCTGCTCTCTGTGCAGGGACAGAACAAACTGTATATCCACTGATTTGTCATCAGACGCAAAACCAAATCTAAGCTGGACGTGCTGAAGGTGAATGTAGTTTGTGGTGAGCGAGTGTGAATCATTTCTGCCACCAGAGGCTGCTGCATCCAGTGACACAGACACGAGAGCGTCTCTGCTCTCTAACACCTAAACACTACTCACATGGGGTCATAGTTGCTCTGCTCTTTGGATTTGAGGAAGCGCATGGCAAAGAAGCCGCCTGCCTGCAAACACAGCACGAGGATGATGCCACCTATGAAGCTGGACATGTCGAACTTGGCCTGGGAGAACTCGGGGGAGGATTTGTCATCACCTTGAAAAGAAATATGAAACATTACCCCGCAAGTCATTTACAGTTACAGGCAGCAGATAGAGGAACATTTTACTCAGGTTATTTTTCTTTTTTAATGTAAACAGTAAAGGTTTGACGTAAAAGAGGAAGCAGGGGAGTAGATGCTGATGCATGGCTGATCCAATTCACCTGAGTCACCTTCACTTCCTCCAGCAGCAACAGTCTCTACAACTGGGAGTTGGAAAAAAGCGTTAGCGAGGTGGTTCAGAGGCACTCAGGGTCCATTTCTCTGTGTTGCTTCATACCTGTGCACAGTTCTGATACTCTGGTCCAGCTGCAGTTCATGCTGCTGTCTGCAGAATCACCCTGATCAACGACACACGTCCCCGTATCATTACCTGATACAAAGAAAAGACATTCAGTGTGTGTGTGTGTTCCTGATACGCTAAATAATTCAGATATCTTGTATAAACGGGGAGAGCTACTGTTACAGCAGCTGGGATGATTGGATTACTATCTGAGGGCAGGGGAGTGTGATTGATTGTGTGTCAATGTGTGTGTGTGTGTGTGTGTGTGTG